GTAAGAGACCTGAATGAAGTGGGAATATTGAGGGGAGAATATTCCAAATGAAAGGAACAGCTACTGCAAAGCGTCTGAGGCATGAACAGATTTGGTGTGTGTGAGGAGCCATGTAAGTTCCAATCATGTGACTGGAGTGGAATGAGAGTTGAACTGTTTACGTACTTGGAGTACATTGATTTCAAGTATATAGAGTGAGATATTTCTGTACACCTTGTATTTTTAATTAATCAAATGTCTTTTTGGATTAATATGTTCTTTGTGTTCAGCATTGTACTTGATTTCAGAATGGGTGATTTGGAGAGCAGTTATTGCAGTCTTGGATAAGCTTGGAGTAGTATTTAGACATTAATATGACTGTATACAACAGAACCCTATGTGAAAAGTAATGCTTATGAGGTAATCAGATTTTTTTTCCCCCCCAGAAAGTATTAATGAAGCTTAGAAAACCTAGAATTACAGCTACAATTTGGTCCTCAGGAAAAATTATTTGCACTGGAGCAACAAGGTAAATGCTACTTGAATTTTTTATTTTTATTTTTTACTTTTTTCCTCATGGAAAGGACATTTTCCTAGATTTAACAGCAAAATTATATGTGAAGTTTGCTGTGTTCCTTAGGGTAAAACTTATTTCCTGTGTAACTGATCATCTTTTTCTTTCCTTAAAACCATAGTGAAGAAGAAGCTAAATTTGGTGCCAGACGTTTAGCCCGCAGTCTGCAGAAACTAGGTTTTCAGGTAACATTTTCAAACACTATCTAAACTACAAATATTGAAGGATTTATTTTTGTAGAATTAAAAATTGTAATAGACTCAAGAAATCACTATCCATACTATTCTTACGATTGAACTTTTTCTAGGTTTTTAATACTGCCCTTCAGCATGAAAATTAGTAGCAAAATTTGGCCATGTGGGTATTTGTAAAGGATCGTAGCTTTTTCCCTAATTCCTTTCCCATAAAGAGACTTGTTACCTCACAGGTTAATTTCCTTTTCAACTCTTTTTAAGTTTTTTCACTTCTGACATACACATACAAAATCAGTTTTGGTCATCTCAAGAATGCCGGGTCAGGATGGTAAATAGAGAACTGCAGAGGCCTGTTGACATGGACATACCAGCTGGCAGGCTCTCACGCTTGTAACGTGACTGTCACTGTCAGCCTTATCAATACGTATAATTTGATAGAGGTATACCTTTGAATAAAATAATTATGTATTATGGACTTGCTAGGTCACTTGCAAATGATAGATAAGTAAAAGATAAAGATGAGATATGGTCCCTCAAGGTGAAGGCAAGGCTGTTTGGGATTGAGACAAGTTTGTAGAAGTGGGGATGGAAAGTTGTGTTTCCCCCTGATGACTGTCTACTCAGTCCTTCTGAAGTAGAGGGTGATAGGAAGAGACTGAATGGCTGGTGCGAGCAGGGGTTGGTGCTTGAGGAGGGAGGCAGTAGAGAGTCTTGAGTTGTGCTGTGATTTGAGAATGCTGCCACTTTGTGGTTTCCTGGCTTTCTGCAACTGCTGTGTGCAAGAGTGAGCTGGAGGATAGTTAGCTCATCTAAAATTGTGATTTTAGGAGGAATGTTTGAAAAATAACGAAATGAAACAGTTGAAGATGCTGGTAGGAGTGGCTGAAGTTATTACTGTTAAGAGAGCATTATTTTCGGCCTTGGAACTTCTTTTCTTAGCATGACATTAGAAGTGTAGAGAGAAATCCCAATTAGTTAAAAACAATTTTATCACTCTATCCCCAAAAAGAAAATAAACCTCTAACTGATCTTACAGAAATACCATTTTACCTAATTGCATATGATAAAAACATCTGGCTTTTGGAGCCCAGTGTACAGTCTGTATTTACTAACATTCTAAAGTGACATCTTTTCCATTTTTACTCTAGCAGGATGACCTGGCCTTAAATTTTTTCCCTCACTATTCCTCTTTTCCTAGTAGTTTTAAGTATTTCACTTAAAGTATTAAAAAAAATTAAGCATGTAGTTAGAAAGACCCAGTCAGTTTTAATCATGCAAATACCTCAGGTTTTAATTTTTTTAATGACGTTTTTGAGCTTTTTAAAAAATTGAATTAAAGCTTTCAGTGCTACGCAACTTACAGTACTAAACATACACTTAAAATGTTTTTATCTTGTTTGCTCTTGTTTTTAAGGATTGACAATTATTAAGGATTGCCATGATGAGCAGATTTTTTTGTTTGTTTCAAAATAAATTTATTGAGTTTTACTTCTCTCCTAAAGGTAATATTTACAGATTTTAAGGTTGTTAACGTTTTGGCAGTGTGTAACATGCCATTTGAAATCCGTTTGCCAGAATTCACAAAGAACAATAGACCTCATGCCAGGTAAGTCTTTGAAGCAATTTATCTTGATAAATTACCAAATTTGAAATTACTAGTCAGGCTGTAAACACTTATATTAATTGTGGCTTTTTTTGTATAGTTACGAACCTGAACTTCATCCTGCTGTGTGCTATCGGATAAAGTCTCTAAGAGCTACATTACAGATTTTTTCGACAGGAAGTATCACGGTAACAGGTATTCTATTATATCGATACCAAACTTGTCAGTTATGGATTGAATGATACAAGATGCTCATACCAAGGTAGAAATCATGTCTGATTTGTTACTATCTGTCACTTCTGCCCTTTAGGAAGAACCAGTCTCCAGACTTTTAACACTGTAAATGTGTTTTACCTACTTTTGTACTATTTATAAATGTTACACGTATTATTTTGTGTCTGTCTTCTTTCACTCAACATTATCTTAGTGAGATTCATCTGTATTATGTTCTGTGTAGTTGTATGTAGATCATTCATTCTTAGATATGGACATTTGAATAGTTTCCAGGGTGGAGCTTTCAAAATATTCTGGTATGTGTATCCGTAGTATGATATTTTTTTTCAATTTATGATATCTTACATTTAAAATATGAGAAACTCATTTTATAAATTTCACAGAGGTTTTTACATAAGCAAAATATTAAATATAATTGATACCTGTTTGTTATATTTATCTTGCTATATCTTTTGAATCTTTATTTGGAGAAGGGGTTTCAGAAGACTAGGCATTCATGTCAAAGGGTAGCATTAGCATGCTGTGTGACTTTTTAATGGTACTATGATTATTATAAAGTGTACAGAAGCGTTGCTTGAGAGTCAGGCCCAACCTTAGGCAAAAATGAATTAAGATTTCTTTAGTGTCCTTGAGCTTTGTTGTTTCTTTCTTCAGTCCTTAGAGGAAAATAACAATTTAGTCTCTTAACAAATAAACTTTAGTTTTAACTCATCCCATGGGTTTTTCCGTCTTCCTTGGGAACTTTCAAAGCGGATTCCAAGATCCCACCTGAATCTTAAATATGGGACGGCAGAGGAGATGTCTGTTTCTTCCCTTCTTTCTGCTCTCTGTTTCTACACTTTGGAGCCTGGACATCTGAGAAGCTCCAAAGTCTATTAGTGAATCTCTGCTAAGTATACAATAAAACAATGCATATGCAAAGCTCTGTATTTACTGAGTTACTAGATATTAAAATGATAACAAACGGAAGACAATTGACCTGGTTAAGTAGTATTCATTATTTACTTACACCAGGAATATCCTGTGAAATGTTAGTAATACTGAATTGGTTCCCATGAGCAAAGCATAGCAGTGTGGGGATAAAATGAGTCAGGAAGGACCTGACCAAGACAGGATGTGGTTAGGACCTTTAGAGAGTTTACAGTGGGTAAATTTGCTAGTTTCCTGGGTCTTTCAAAAGCAGTAAGTATGTATTAATGAAGCCATTTTTATTCAAATAAATTTTATGAAAATAGTTTTCATTGTCCTTTTTGTTTCTTTTTAGCTATTTAAATGAAAGATTACATTTTTATAAAGCTGTTCGAGAATTAACATAACACATGGTCACCTCATAGCCTTCTGCTTTTTTTGTTTTCTGTTGATTCCTATAAGCTCTGAGGCTTATGACCGGATTGGTAACAAACATGTGGATACCCAGTGGTGGTGAATCTGTGGGGATTTTTAAACCACAGTAGTCCACGATAGTTTGTACGCAGTTTTTCGTATACTTTTTATTCACTCTTGTGCCCGAAAACAAAGTGAATAACCTCATTTTGTGTTTCATATGTCCTTTAATTGCCCAGAAAAAAATCTGTATTATTTTTGCCCTTATTATGACTATGTGTATAATTATATGTGTAGTGTTTTTAAAAAACAATTAACTTGATATTCTGTACTACTCGAATATTTTTAATTCTGGGAAATCAGTTTTTCCTAGTGCTCTGCTTTCCAACTCTTCTCACTCCTTTCTCCGTTGTGTTTATTACAGGGCCCAACGTAAAGGCTGTTGCTACTGCTGTGGAACAGATTTACCCATTTGTGTTTGAAAGCAGGAAAGAAATTTTATAAGTCACCACTTAATTGGTTAGAATCTCTAACTGAGCACCTTTTAAAACCTGCTGCACATTGGACTCAAAAGGAAAACTGGACCAACAGTAATTGAGGAAATAGACTCTTTTATTCATTCACGGCTACAGTGTAAGCTCCAGTCCCTTTGGATTTTATTCCAAACCTTGCTGTAATATAAAAGGAAGTTTACAAGACATGACATTGCTGCTTTTACAAAAGGACATTCTATTTATTTTCGCAGTAATTCTCATGTCCCCATAAGCAGAGCTGTCACAGTGTGCACTACCTTAGATTGTTTTATTGTTGTCATTGTTATTTTTTTTCCATTTTGAGCTAATGTGTTTTATTTGTGAATAGTCTTTTACATTTTTGTATGCTGAATATGGGCACCAAAGAACCTGTAAAAGTTATCTTTTTCAATTGAATGTGCACAAATAAAAGTTTGGAAAAATCTCTCTTCATATCCATTCTCTAACTTTTATTCCCCATTTTCTATTTTAACAAAAATTGTGTTCATACTTCTTTTTTTTTAAATTTATTCAAGCTTAAGACTTTGGCTAAAATGTGTTGGCTTCTTTTTGAAGTGCACTGTGTGTGTGTGTGTGTGTGTGTGTGTGTATGCACCACATGTGTGTAGTATCTTTTAATGCTCTGTTACCAAATAACAAATATAAATTTTTGTTCTTGAAGATTAGAAATCAAAACGTGTATATAAACTCTAGGGAACCGGAGAAGTTTATAGATAAAGGATAATGTTTTATGTTGCTAATTTAATATGATAGAAAATGTTAAATAACTTGTAAAAGTTAAGAAATTGTAGTTTTAAAAAGAGAAACCTCTTACCCACTAGATGGACATGAGAAAGAAGCTGGGATGAATGGTGCCTCATTTGGACCTTTGTTTTTCCAGAAAGACTCAACACCTGTAGTTGTAGAGAAGTGATTGAGGTTCTTTAATCTTGGGTTGGTGCTCAAGGCTATACTAAGAATCTTGTCAGAAGCTGGTATAACATTGAGCTGTTTTAACAAAAGTGCCCACAAGCCAAGCTGCTGCCTGTGTGCCACAATGTAATGATCAAATAGTCCCACTTGAATTTGAAAGCCATTTTGTGTGATATTGTCCTTCCCCTTGCTGTATCTTATTTAATGGAGTTAAAGAGTGACTATGCAGTATATGGGATTGCTACTCTTAAAGTGATAATAAATACGCATTTATGAAACAGTGTGTCTGGCTCACCCAGGAGCCCTGAAGTGGTAATACAGGATCAAGCTGTAGTTGTCCCCTGTCACTTAGATTTAGGAGTTTAGTGTAACCAACAGTAATTATACCGAGAAACAAAGCTAAGTGGAGGGTCCAATTAACTTCTCAGGAGAAACTTAATGGAGACAATATTCCAACACAATGTTCCACAAAAACTTGTATTTCCAAAATGTTTTAAAACCTTTGTGGAAAAATTGCAACATCCTAACCTCCATATATAGTATATTTTTCTTACCATATTGTAAAATCTTGAAAACCTAGCTTAGGCACTGCACTGAATAATACATAGAATTTTTATCTTTTTTCTTCTCAGTGCCTTCCCTAACCTGCTTCTCACTCCCTCCAAAGTAGAAGGCAAAGCCTAACTTACATTTTTCTTATGAAAGATTTCATTGAGATTTTTAGACTTTTTTTCCTTTTTTTTTTTTTTTAAAAAAGTGTTTATTTCCTTCATTTTAAGATTCAGTAGGCTAGCCAAAGTCATAAATATAGAGAATAAAATGACATGAAAGAGTTACAAGCTCACTGTATTAAATATTTTACATATTTCATTTAGTTTTAATTAATAGTAGTAAGGCACCTCCTGTTTTGCAATGTTCACCGAAAAAAGAAATATAGAATGGGGAAAACACACTTATATAGCCAAGGTAGAGATCCAGATGATGGAACCTTTTTAGTATTCACATGACTTGAAAACGGGGCAGATCAGTAGCTAATTGAAGTGCTTTATTTGAAGGGAGAGGGTAAAGACAGTGTGACCAGGTCTGGTTTCAGGGCTGCCGAGTGAGCTTCACCTAGCAGTGTCCATGGGTAATTTGCTAACCTTAACAAAGACAGGAAGAAGTGAGTGCTCTGATGTCTTCTGCTGGCTCTCCATAAGTACTGTAAATTTTTTTAATAAATAAAAACTGTGAATGTATATGTATAAATTGTAAGTATTTCCCCCTTTTTATTTTTGAAAATCACAAAGCTTGATTTGGTGTGGGGCTGTGGATATTGGATAAAAATTAATTTGAAGACAAAATTGTTTAGTTACAGACTCAGGGTAATAAAAGAAAAATAGAATGCTCAAGATACTGAAGTCGAGGTCACTAGTAATAAACCAAGCTAGGTTGATAAACAGTTTCCTGCCCATTTACAATGAATGGCTAAACCAAAGAATACCTAAAGCATAGATAGTGTTTGAACTATGAAACACGGAAGGAAACATGGGGAGAACACACTTTACCTTCTCTTTCCAAAAACAAAAGACAATGCATGCCCTAACTTGCATTTGAAATATGCCATGATAGAACTGAGATCTCAAATCTTTACTTTTAGCTTCCCCCTGCCAATTTTAATGCAGATAATACACTGCAGATCTAGGCCTTTTAGTCATTCTCCTGAGTCTCTGATACAGTTTTACTATCTTACATAGATTTATAGTCTCTCTGCATTGTTATAAGGGAATGTAGTATATCATATTCCCTTATATGACATTGAGACAGTTTGTTAGGAACCAGTAGGAAAATTCCAGGCTAAATGAAAAGGAGCTTTGGCTCCTAGTATTCTCTTTTCTTCAGGTTGATCATGTTTTAAAATTCTTTTCCAAGCTAGGTTGTTCATGATTTTAAGTTTTTTGTGTGTCATCCATCACTTAAACAATACTAGTAATTTAATATGTTACTACTTAAGTGGTTCAAGATTGGATTGTGGATTTTCTATCATCATACCCAAATTTTACTAGTAAGACATCTTACCAAGTCTTTAAAATCAACTGGAGAAGTAGAGAACAGCTCATCATTGTGTGGGTGAAACCCACATTGCTGGTACAGGTGGCCATCATAGAGAAGCACATAGTGAGGGAAGTGTCCTGATGTCTGAATGTCATTTATTATGTCTGCGGTCATCTGAAAGTCATCATCGATTATAACCTGTGTGCCGTAACCTGAGGTAGTGATATTCCTGAGGCGTGTGAAGAATTGCAGGACACTGTGGATGACTATACATTGTCATGAAAGCCTTACAAGGACGCCGCTTTTATAGGCTTGACTTAATAAACTTAAACCTAATTGCTTAGAGATTTGGATAAATAACCTAATGGTCTGACTCCTTTTCTAATATTTTACTAACAGCTACTTCTAAATAAACGTGGTCCCAGGATTTTAAAATTCTTTTCTATGTATTTTTTAAAAATGGAAAAAATGCTCATTTTTCTCAACGATTGCAGAATTCTTTTAATATTTTACAATATTAACATGAAATTCATAAAAGGATATTTTGCATTAAATTGTAGTTTATAATTCATAAAATAAGCTCTTTAATCTTCATACTTTTTGAACTGTAACTAGGAATTACTACTGAAATCCTCGCCGGGACCCTCCCCTAATCCAGATAGAATATACAGGCAGTTGTCCACACTGTGTGTCTTTCTTACGTGAGACCCAGCGCAAGTAGTGTCTTGGTAGGCAAAAACTGTACCCTCGTGTCCAGGCCACTTGTGTGTCTGAATAATAAAGCTGCGACTGGCCTCCGTTCATATATAGCTTAAGGCAGAGGTTGATGTCTTCGCTAGGACGTAGCCTTTTCAAAGGCTCTATGAAGAGGGTAGATTAAACCAGCCAGTAGCTTTTTTTCAACCTGATACCCTGCTCAGAATAAGAAAGAGATCACTTAGGACCTTGTACCTCATCTAACTTTTGAGGTTCCTTTTGGCGAAGAGGGGATTAAAGGCTGTCTTTATCATTTCAGAGTATCTCTTCAAAACCGGTTCCATGACACTGAAAAGAATGCACAAGAGTCACAACTATGCATTGGTCCAAAGACCCCCTCCTAAGTGTTCCGGCACTATCCACGTTCAGAAGGTGTTGAGGCCATTAGGTCTCTGAAGAAAGCTGCCTGGATTGGCCCCTACTACACAGCTTGTTACACTCCAAGAGCTGCTCCTGCGGTTTTCTTTTTTGAGGCTGCCTTGGCATTAATTCTTCTTGGTGATGACTCATAAAACAAATGTTGTTTTTCACATAGTTCCTGAAAGAGAAAGAGGCACTAATGAAAATGTCATTCTTAGTTTACAGTACATGAAAAAAAATGTGTAGGCTATTATTTTTTCAACCACTCTGGGGCTTTCATGTTTTAGCTATGCAAAATAAATACATATTTTTGTTAGGAAGCCTGCTGCATCATGAAATTCAGTATACCACAGACTTTGATCAATCTCATATAAAAGGTAACAGGGTGTCTTCTCAGAACATAATCCCAGCAGTCACTCTGTGGGGAAGGATTCCAAGGATAGTGTTACATACAGAGACCAGTGGAGGTTTCATCCCAGACCTTATTTTTTTCCATTTCTCAAAGTCCAGCAATGTGCCTATATTTATATCCCTTCTACATTAACACAGTTTTCTACAGGATTCTTCCCATCCATAAAAATATGCTATAGTATTTTACCTTTACTAAAAATAGAGGGCTGCCTTTGAACCTCCCTTTTCAAATACCTTTTTCTGTAATATAACCAATGACTTGAGAGGCCATGACGTGTAGGTGGTATGGGTTGAGTAGATCAAGACTCCTGTTTTCAAGGAGCTTACTTAACATTTTAAAGAGGAGACAAGCATATAATTTGAAGTAGTAAAAGTACTAATGAGAAAAGTAAACAGGGAAGGAGAAAAATGACTTAGTTGGGTGGGAGAGGACAGACTGTATTATACAGGTGGCATCTCTCTAAAGCAGTGGCGATGATCAGAAACTAGAATGAAGTTAGGGAGGGAACCCTGCAAAGAATTCTAGAGACCTGAGAAGTGGGGGCAGGGAGATGGATTAGTATCTGGAGGGAACTTGAGGAAGGTATTTTTTCAGGATGGGAAATACTGCAGCTCTGTGTGTGTGTGCATGATGATAATCCCATTGAAGGGGGAAATTGGTGACGCAGTCAGTGCACAAATGGAAGCATTGGCCTTTGCAACAAGGCAGAGTGTGTGGGCATAGACTTAGGTAGGATAGGAGATATTGTGACAAGAGGACAAGGTGGTCTCAATTTATTTCCTCTGAACTAAAAAGCAAAATAATTAGAGTGAAGAAGTGGGAGGGGATGCTGGAGGCTTGAGAAGAGTATTGGTGTGAAGTAATCATCTTTGAAAGTAGGAACGTCAGCTCACCAGGGTAATGTGGTATATTGCAGGGCATTCTTCAAGATCGACTTGAGATTTATGTTCCTAAGTTTAAAACAAGGCTGATAAGCATAGTCGTATGCTTGATTCAGCCACGTTTAGCTCCTTGAATGCAGGGATAAAATAAGAGTTGACTTGATCAGATAAGGTTTGCCTGAGTGATGGAGAGAGAAGAAGGTAAATAAAGGGAGAAGGGGAAGTGCAAAGAAGTGGCCTTGGTGGTGGGCCATGGAAAGTAGGTAGCAGGGTAAGGAGGGAAGGGAGAACGTGGATTTCCAGGTCCTGGTGGGGCTGAAGACTTGTTGGAGTGCCAGTACTTGAGGAGTGGGCTGGAGAGATGAGTGGTTAGAGGGTGAGTGGAATCCTTGTGAATGAAGCAGTGATTGGAAGTGAGGCTAGGGCGTGACCAACCTGTTTTTCTGCTCCCCTTCACAGCAAAACTGATGCAAGCAGTGGCCTATAACTTCTTCACTTGACTTGCGTTTTGTCCTCCAACCTCATCAGTCAGCTTCTGTCCTCTCATTCCACTGAGCCTGAGTCTGTCAAGCCTACGGCTACCTGTGTCTTTGCGTTGGCCTCCCCAGTCCCACCTTCCTACAACACTCTGGCTTTCCTCCAACCTCACTTTTGGCTTCTTTTCAGTCCCTTTTAACATTCTCTCCTTTGCTCGGTCTCTAAGGTTGGCATTAAACTGGGCCTAGCCCTGGACCTGATTCCCTTCTGTCTCTCTTCTCTGACCAGATAAGCTTATCTGACTCCATGACTTGAATACTACTTACAAGCTGATGGCCACCCACAATTGACTAACTCCTAGAGTCTCCAAATTTCAGACTTACATAGCTAACTGCCTACTACTAATGTGTCTGTTTGATGTCTAATGGACATCTCACAGTAACTCCAAATCCGAGCTCTATTCTCTCGTGAGCCCTGAAACCTAGCCTTCTTTCAGGCTTCCCCATCTCACCGTCCATCCAGTTTCTCAAGCTAAAACTTGCAGCGTCATCCTGACTACTTCATTCATTCTTTTCATCTACTCAATGCTCAGCTTCGATTATATGCCAAGGAATTGTTCCAGATGTTGGGAAGCAACAGTGAACACAATGTACAAAATTCCCTGCCTTTGTGGAATTTAAATATAGCAGGAAGAGAACAGACAGTCAACCAAGTAAAATACAGTGTTTCTGCTTTGGTTAAAGCTGAAGGATTGGAAAGTGTATCCAGAGTTGGATACACAATTGGGATTTGAAATAGAGTGACAGGAAAAGTCTGGTGGAGGTGAAGCAGCAAGACAGGTGGATATCTAGTGGAAGAGAAAACAAGTGCCAAGATCCAGAGCCTTGAGTATGCCTGATGTGTCTGGGACACAGCTTTTGGCCTATGTGGCTGTGAGAGAGAAGGGGAGATGAGTAGGGTGTGCAGGGCTGGAAGGGCATTGGAAGGCTTCTGCTCTTGCTGGAGAGCCACTGGAGGATTGGAGCAAAAGAATACCTTGATTGCATTTAAAGGGGTCATTCTGGCCACTGTGTAGAATTGATTGGAGGGGACAAAGGTGGAATTGGGGACCAGTAAGGGGGTATTGTAGTAATTCAGGATGGAGATCATGGTGACTCAGACCAGGGCAGCCATGAAGGGGTTCAAGCTCTGGATACATTTTGAAGTCAGAGCCAACACAACTTCCTGATAGACTGAATGTGGAGTATGAGAGAAAGAGTCAGAAAGAGGAAAGACTCCAAGATTTGTGGCCAGAGCAAGTAGTAGTAGAATATTGACATCCACTGAGGTGGGTATGGCTGTGAGTAGAATAGGTCTGAGGACATCACAGGTGCAATTTAGGACGTGCGAGGTATTAGGTGTCTGTCAGACATTTGGAAAGACGTGTAGAGTAAGCCGTTGAATAAACAAGGCTTGAATTCTGGAGAGATTGCTAGAGACATACATACATTTCAGACCCTGGCATACTGATAAGATAAAAACTGTAATAACTAGCCGGTGAGGGTGACAGAAGTGGTCAGGGGACTAAGCCCCAGAGCACACCAACTTTAAGAGGGGAAGCAGAGGAAGAGAGACCCATAGGTCAGAGACAATCAAGGGAGGGGTCCCTAATGGTTGAGAGGCAAGCATTTCAGGAAGGAGGATTATCCCCAGCCAAACGCGCTATCTCTAGTCAAATGCTGGGGATAGTCTAAGATGAGGAGTGAGAATTGACCACAGAGTTTACCAACATGGAAGTAATTGGGACATTAAAAAGTAATTTCAGGAGAGGAGGTGGCCGTAAAAGTCTCATTGGAGCAGGTTCATGAGAATGGGAAGAGCAGAAGCACAACTGATGACAGTGGATATGGACAACGCTTTAGAAAAGCGTGGCTATAGATAGTAGCAAAAAATAGGGCAAAAGCTGGAGAGAAAAATGGCACCAAAAGACCTTTAAAAAAAAAAAGATGGAGAAAGAATCAGCAAGTTTCTTTGCTGATGAGGAGTAGGCAAAGATGCGGATGACGCAGCAGTGAGCTGGAAGAATGGCTGGAGAATGTGCTGGAGAAGGGAGGAAGGAAAGAGGGGATGAAGAGGCCTCTCATAGGAAGGACTGCATTCCTACATAGGCCCTGGAAGAATGGTCGTATCTTTGGAAGGTAGTGGAAGTTTCCCCTGATGATGTCCATTTTCTCAGTGAAGTCAGAAGCAAGGCTGTCAGTCGGGAATGAGGATGTGAGGAGGTTTCCGGAGGGAACGTGATCTGGAACATTTGTCTAGGAGAGAAGCAGTTAATAGACTAGGGACATGTGTGATTGCCACATGTGACTGAAGGCCACTTAAGATCCATGGTCATGATGGGAAAAGAGGCCCAGCACTCCAATTGCATGCTTTCCCAGCCTCCTTCAGCGGGATGGCTGCAGACAGTCACTATGGCACACTTCAAAGTGCAAGTCAGATCATGTCACTGCCCTGCTTAAAACCCTTCAGTAGCTTCCACTGCAATTAGAATGAAACCCAACTCTCCACTCAGCCTGCAAAGCCCTGCACACTAGTCTCTACCTACTTCATAACTCATTGTCAAAGATTACAGCCTTCTTTCCATTTCTGGAACAACTCAAGCGTGTTTCTGACTTAGCCTTTGCACTAGCTGTTTTTTCTGCCTGGATTCTCTCCCCTGTCTTCCAGGGTTAGCTCTTTATTACCCAGATTTTATCTTAAATGTTTTCTCTCTGAATAACCTTCTTAGACCCAGCCAGTTGCAAGTAGCCTTCCAGTCACTTACTACCTAATCGGCATGTTTGAAATCTTGTGATTGTACTTGCTGATAATGTTGTTGTAGAACCTAGATCAGTGCCTGGTACATAGTAGATGCTCAGTAAATATTTATTAAACAAATGAATTGGATGGATGAATGAATGAAGAAATGGCCACATAAAATTAACTGCTAAAAGTGAAAAATAAGTTCACATCAGAATTGAAATATTTACAAAACATTAATTTGTTTGCTTTCTCCATTTGTGCCTACTTAAGCTGGAGGAAAAGTAAATAAAATCACAGCTGAAACAGCAACCACGACAAACACCACATCCCACTTTGAGTTTGTAGCTTGCAAGGCAGAAGTTCAAAATAAAATCTTTTCAAATTACATTATTGCAGAAATCTTTTCTGACCTCTCAGCTGAGTCACTGTTTATTTTACAAGAAACTTAACATCCTTGGAAGAATATTTGTTTTCTCAGCTTTTTAGAAATAGGGGTAGAAGAACCCAACTCCAAATAGAGAGGAAAATGCTAAGCAATGTGCAGTATCATGTTTGAAGTTAATTTGATATTGTAGTTTCCTTTCTTAGAAATAGACATTGAAATTTATACATCAGGACTGTTACGTT